TACTACAAGAATTTATTAAGGAAAACTGCCCTATAGGTCTAGAACATGAGGGTAAAGTAGAAATAGAAAAAAAAATCTACTATTCACCACCTGAAAGAGATCCAAGAAGAGCAACTCAGAGGAATGTCATAGCCACGTTTCCAAACTCCCAAGTTAAGGAGAAAATATTGCAAGCAACAAGAAAAAGCCAATTTAATTACTGCAGAAATACAGTCAGGATTTCACAATGCTTTGCAGATTCCATTCTAAAAGACCATGAGTCTTGGAACATTATATTTTGAAAAGCAAAAGAGCTGGGATTGCATTTAAGAATAACTTAACCAGCAGAGTTGAATATAATCCTGAATGAAAAAAAAATGCACATTTGACAAACTGAAAGACTTTTTTTTGTAACAAAAAGACCAGAACTCAATAGAAAATCTGATATAAAAGATCCAGAAGAAATATAAGTAAAACATTAAAGACTAATTATAAGGCACTCACTAATGTCAAACTGTGTACTTATTAAGTATATGAAAATGTTATCAGTATTCTTAAAATTGTCATCACTACTAAGGTAGTTTGAAAGAAAGGTTGGGGTTTAATTATGCAGGATGGAGTGATTCTAAAAAACAAAACTAGGTAGGAAAAGGTAAAAGGGAGCAATTATTAAAATGGGGTGTGAAAGGAAGAACTAATGCAGAGGAAGCAGGTGGAGGGAAGGGCTGGTAATGTCAGAACCTTACTCTAATTTGGGTTGAAAAGGAAACAACGTGTACATCAACAATGTGTACATCTTGCAGAAGTCTTCTGAATACACAGAGAGGTGAGAAAACTGAGGAACAGGGTGATGGAAGGACTTTTAGAGGGGTGTGTGGATTGGGATTGGGGGTGAGAAGCGGACTGGGGACTCTTGGACGGGTGGGTTAAGTGGAGGGTAGGAGGAGAAGAACAAGGACAGCATAAAATGAGAGGCTGAGAAAGAAAACAGTGAATAAAAATAAGATGGAGGGAAACTCACAAATAGTAAACATAACTGAATATGAATGGGATGTTTATAGCAGCTCTCTTGGTGGAGGCAAAGAACTGGAAATTGCAGGGATGCCGGTCAATTAGGAAATGACTGAACAAGTTGTGGTGTATGGCTGTGATGGAATACTACTGTGCTATAAGAAATGATGAGCTCATTTATTGATCTTAAGGGCATGGAAAGACTTGAACGAAATGATGAGGAGAGAAGTAAGCAGAACCAAGAGAACATTATATACAATAACAGCAATATTGTTTTAAGAATGATTCTGAGCAACTAAGTTATTTTGACTATTATAAATACACAAATTAAAAATAAAGGACATATGAAGAATGATGCTATCTGCAATCCAGAGAAAGAACTGATAAACAGGTATGTAGAATAATTTTACATATATATATACATATATACGCATACACACACACACCCCCACCCCCACCTATTTATGTTTAATGATAGCCATCTCAAGGGCCGGGGGGTGGGGGGAGAAAAAGAAGAAAAAAATGAAATTTACATGATTACTTTGTTGTATATTTGGAGAGAATAGCAAGTTGTACATGGTAGACTTGCAGTTTTGTGTGCAATCTTTTTTACTGTTCTGTGTTATGCAAATGCTTGTTTTGTTGCGTGAATTGAAAATAAAATAAATTTTAAAAGTAAAATGAAAGCTTCCCCTCCCCTCTAAAAATGTTTTGAGGAGGAGGCACTTGAAGTGAGCCTTGAGCTAGGGGTTCCAGGAGATAGAAGTGAGGAGGGAGAGCATGCCAAAAATGGGGGGTAGGGGCAGCTAGGTGACGCAGAGGATAAAACACCGGTCCTGGAGTCAGGAGGACTTGAGTTCAAATCCGGCCTCATACCAAACACTTGACACTTACTAGCTGTGTGACCCTGGGCAAGTCACTTAACACCACTGTCTAGCAAAAAACAAACAAACAAACAAACAAACAAAGATAGGGGGTAGTCTTCTAGAATGACATGATAAGAGATGGAATGTCCCACTTGAGAAACAATAGGTAGGTCAGTACTTAAAAACAAAGGTGACAAACTATTAGTCATATGAAAGAAAGCTCAAAGTCACTAATAAGAGAAATGCAAATCAATCCAGAGGTTTCACTTTACACTACATATACATATATGTATATATATATATGTATGTATAATCTTAGCAAATATGGCAAAAGATGGGAAAAGTCAGTGTTGGAGATCATGAGAAGGTAGCCACACTGGTATGATATTGGTAGAGCTGTGAATCAGTATTAATCACTCTTTTGGAAAGCAATGTGGAATTATGTAAAGTGAGTTAAAATGTTTATATACAAAAATATTTATGGCAGCATTTTTTGTGACAGCAAAGAATTAGAAACAAAGTAGATGCCCATGGATTGGGGAATGGCTAAAAAAATTGTGGAACATGAGCTAGTGAAACATTACTGGACTGTGAAAAATGACAAATATGATGAATACAGAGATACATGGTTAAGATCTACAGTAAATGGTGCAGAGTGAAGTTAGCAAAGCCAAGAAAACAATATACACAAAGACTACAACAATGTAAATGGAAAGAACAACCACAAAACAATCAAAAGTGAGTGTTGCAAAATTATAAAGAGCAGCACTACAAAGATTTATAAGAATATAGTCCCACATAATTCCTTTGCACAGGTAGGTGGACCATGAATGTGGTACACTGTATCTATTTTCAAAATAAGACAAACTCCCTTGCCCAATACCATTTACTTCTTACATTCAACTACCCATCAAATCATACCTGCTTTCATCTCAATATGACTTTTACTTATGTTAGGATATTATCCATTGTTTACATCACCCAAATGGTCTAATTTTGCTGTGACACATTCATGAGCAGTCAGTGTACTATGGAATAAAGAGCACTGGTTCGGCAATCAGAGCAGGCCCTGGTTCTACCTCTGATGCTTTCTCCTCATGTGATTTTGTTCATACTCTTGCCATGGATTAACCAGTTTTGCTGGATTTTTTTTCTTTAAAATATACCATTGTTATATAGGATGACTCTCATGGAGAAGAAAAGTGGAGTAAAACTGGGAAAAGTTAAAATATTATAAAAAACAAAAGATATCAATAAAATTATTTTTAAAAATTTAAAAGAGAAAAAAGAGAGCATCTAGCTGCCTTTGCTGTAATCAATTCACTTACCTAAGTGAACAATAGTACAAAAACTAGAGTGCTTAAAGAACTTTCAAATATGATTGCAGAATCATTGGAATACTTGAAAAATTGGGGAGACAGGGAAGAAGTACTACAGGATCAGAGAGTGCAAATGACTTGATTTTAAAAAAAATCCAAGAGCATGAGGCCTACAGACTAGAGATCAATGAGCTTAGTTTCAACTTCTGGAAAAATTATAGAACACATTATCAGTCAACATCTAGAAAAGGAAGTGATGTATACAGATAGTATGCTTTCATGCAGAACACGTCATAACAGAACAATCTCACTCCCCTCCTTGTCAAGGTCGCTGTAGTATTGTTAGATGTGGGAAATACAGTAGACGTAGTTTGCCTAGATTTCAGGAACACATTTAGCAAAACCTCTCATGAAATTTTTGTGGACTAGATGATAATATAATTGGGTAGATTTGAAACTCAAACAATGGTTGCATCTAAAGAATTTTAAGATTTAATGTCAATTTGAAATGTCTTCAGAGAAATACCTTACTGACTCATGTTTGGTACTTTACTGTGTATTTGTTTATTCGTGCACTCACTCATTTATTTTGAGATTAAGTCTCCTCATACTGCCCAAGATCAAGTGGTCCATTGGCCACTTCTAGGCCAGATACAATTGTAGTTGGCATAGAAGCTTTTACCTGTTCTGTTTCCAACCTGGACTGAAACTTCCCCTCCTTTGGCAGTTTGCTAGCCTCACACTCCTTTCATGCTCACTATATTGGTACTGCACTTGGTACTGGATACCAGCTCAGCTTGAGCCCTAATGAAGCTAAAAACTCCCAAGCTCATGCATTCCATCATCCTCAGACTCTCCCAGTAGCAGGATTTACAGGCATGTAATCACCAACGTGCAGGGTGCTCCCATATGATTTAATATTTTTTTTAATGACTTGTACCAAGGCAGGAAGTTATACTCATCAAATTTTCAGATGTTACTGGGCCAAATTGAATAAGACAAAAATTTAACAAAAATAAATCTAAAGTCTTACATTTGTGTTAAAAATATCAACTTCAAAAGTACAAAATGGGTAAGTCATAGCTAGAGAGATGTTTTAAAAAGATCTGGAGGTCTTAGGGGACCACAAACTCCATATGAATGAATACTATTATATAATGCCACCAATCATTGAATAGAGTATCATGGTCCAAAGTGCATTTTATTCTGGCAGCCGTCTATAGTGGAAAAGATTGCAAAAAGGAATATCAATGCTGTGCTTTTTGTAATAGTCTAGGCAAGAGGGGCAGCTAGGTGGCGCAGTGGATAGAGCTCCAGCCTTGGAGTCAGGAGGACCTGAGTTCAAATCTGGCCTCAGACACATAACACTAACTAGCTGTGTGACCCTAGGCAAGTCACTTAACCTCATTGCCTAGCCCCGCCCCCCCCCAAAAATTGGTCTAGGCAAGAAGTAATGAAATTCTGAGCTAAGATCACAGCTGAGTAAGTCGGGTTGCGGTGGGGAGGAAGGTATGAACGTGACAGATATTATAGAGTTGGAAATGAAAAGACTTGGCATCTAGAATAGAAAGGGGAAATAAGGGATAGCAGATAGTTGAAGATGGGAAGGATGGGAAGTGGAAGGATGAATATATTCTCTTTCTCAAAAGAGGGAAGTTTGAGAGAAGAATGGATTGGGAGGGAGAAAATGAATTCCATCTTGGACACAATGATTTGAGTGTGCTTACCTTATATGGATTAAAAAAAAAAGGTTTAGTCAATCATTTTGATGCCTATTACAGATCCTGAAAAAACATAAATAATAAATGACTGAAATAGTACTTACTTTGGTATGGATGGTAAGGCTCGTTCACCTTCTGCAAAAACAAAAACAAACATCAAATAATAGAGAAGAGGTACGTAGGCTAGGTTAGCTGTTTAATAATTTTTTTCTTATAAAGATCAACTTTTGATGCCTACAGTGCTATAAGGTAATGTGAGCTATATTCCAGTATTTTAGCAAGACCACTACTAAAAACTTCTTGCTTATTAGATTACTTACTTCAGGCTTTCCTAGTCTTATATTCAACTTTCAGAGCTCTAAATTTAATTTTAACTGTCTAGACTCATATTACTTTGAAAGCATCACTTGATTCAAAGGGACAAAGCAAAGAAACATTATTATAACTGATTACATGGAAGTTCTATTTCTATAAATGTACAATATACAAATAACATTTGGCAATTTACTATTTATAAAATATTTTCCTCACAGCAACTCTACGAAGTAAATGGTACAAAAACAGCAGTTTTCCTCTAAATTTGAGTCTGTTTTAAAATCTGGAAGGCATCTTCTGGAGAAAATCAGTTTACTGTTTGCAATCAAATCCAGCGATTCTTCTAATCCTTATTGTACTAGGCAAATAAATATGATGAAGAACAAATAGTCTGTCTATGCTGGATAAAAAAACAGGTATAATATTGCTGAGATTATATACTAGCAATCATTTGAGTATAACGCAAATGTAATTTGATAAAATAATTTACTTATAAGTAGAAACCTAAAAATACTGCTATTTGATATATCAGTTAACCCCCGCAAAAAACCCTGGCCAATGGAATAAATATTCAACAATAAAAACAATAAAATAATGGAATTTACTAATATCAATAACTTACTAATATACCTTTCTCACTTAAGACAAATACTTTCAAAACTGATGCAGGATTTTTTTTGTTTTGTTACAACAGTCAATGCAAATACATATACCCAGGACTATCCAGGTAGTATGAATTCTCCTAGGAAGTATAATGGTATCACATATACTAACTGGGATGCCTTGAAATAGGGATTGGTCATACACTATTGACAACAGAAAGGTGATTTATTTCTATATAAGTATCATCCCTAGATTCCTGCCTCTATAACAGATTACTGCAGTGGATCTGCACAGTGTCTTCCACATTGGAATAATTCGAACATTCATCAAATAAGTGAAAAAGTATAAATATCTTATATTTACTGAACTTTAAACAATAATAGTAAGGATGGATATACTGTTTTGAAACAGTTCATTTCCACTCAATCAAGCCCTTCATATAGAGCCAAAAGGATTTTCTGTAAGCAGAAATCCTAACATGGTATTGGCATTCTTCTACCCAATAAACTCCAGGGGCCCCCCAATGCCTTTAGGACAAAATATAAACTCCACTGTTTGGCTTTTAAAATTCTTCACAACCTGGCTACTATCTGCATTCCCAGCTTTATTACTCCATTCCTACATTTTATGGTCAAACCATGTTGGACTTCTTGCTATTCCTCACACATAGCATTCAATCTTCCATTTTCATGCCTGTCCCTAATCCCTGGAATGCTGTCTCACAGAATCTTTTATCTCCTTCAAGACTCAGATCAACCATTGCCTTTCCAGAGCCTTTCCCGATTCTTCCAATTGCAATTGCCACTGCTACTTAAACTAGCTTGAATTCTACACGTAAATTTTGTATATATGTATATGTTGTCTAACCTGATGGGAATTAAGCAGTAACCTTTTGAGAGCAGTAACCTTTTCAGTTCTGTCTTTCTACCTCTGGCATGTGATACAGTGCCTGACACAAAGCAGATATCTTTAAAAAAAACTTTCATTAGATGCTACCATGCTCACAAGCTATCATTATACAACTCTTTTCTCTTTCTCAGCCAAACTCCCTGAAAAAGCTGTCAACATATGCTGCTCTTTGTCCAACTACAGTTATTTCCTTTGCTGGATATTCATCCATGTCATGCTCAGGTTCACTAATTGTGTGTGTTTGAATTTCTCCAGTTCTATAGCTACTCTCACACCAAGCACAGTCCTTTGGATATCTCAAAAACTCTTCATCCAGTGGGCATTTCAAATATAACATGGAACTCTTTATTCCCCCCCCCCCCCCCCCCCCCACCCCGCGGAATCCTCTCTTCTGAATTCCCCTCTTATTCTAAGTACAGTCACGGCATCAGTCACAGGATTAAGGTCACAGCATCAGTGTCATCCTTGACTCCTTACTCTCAATTGCACTACACAACCATCTCTCCATTCACACAGCCACAACCTTGGTTCAGAAGCTCTCTTTACCTAAAACCGGCTCTAACTAGTCTCCCTGCTTAAAATCTTTCTTTCCTCCAATCCATTCCTAGGTGATTTTCCTAAAGTGTAGGTCTGACCATGTCACCTGCTCAATCAACTCCAGCATCTTCCTGTTAAATCTTTCATCAAATAAAAATTCTGTTTGGCACTAAAGCTCTTTATAATCCTGTCTTCTTGCCTTTCCTGTCTTCCTACATGTTATTCTCCCTCATATACTCTTAACCCAGCCATAGTGCTCTACTTGCAGTTCCTGGAACACAATATGCCATCTTCAATCTCTGTTCCTTTATGCTGGCTGTCTCCCATGCTTGGGATATTGTGTCCCCTTACCTCCACCTCTTAAGTTTCCTTGGCTTCATTCAAGACTCAGTTCAAATCCTAACTAAATGCCTTTCCCAGTCTTTTCCCCTGCTGTTAATGCCTTCTCCTTTAAGAGTGCTTTTCATTTACTCTTTCTACAGCTTATATGCACCTGGTTCTTTACATGCTATATCCCCATTAGAATGCAACCTCTTTAATGGCTGGGGCTGTTTTTGCCTTTCTTTGTATCTTTAGAACTCAGTACAGATGGGGGCACATAGCAGGTACTTTATAAATGTTCGCTGACTGACTTGACTGAGATGTCAATGAGAACAGAAAAAAAGACATTTTGGCTAGATCTCAGAGTGTGAGATGAGGAGTTACGAACAGTAAGGTTGCAAAGATATGTTAAGACCAGGTTGTTTCAGACTTTAAAAGTTAAATAGAGGTGTTTATATTTTGTTCAGTAGGTAATAGGAAGCCAGTGAAGTTGACTGAATAGGGAACCACATGGTTAGAACTACACTTAAGGAAAAGTACTTTGGTAACTCAGTAGGATGAACTTAACTGGGGTGAGACTTGAAGCAGGAAAAACGATTAAGAGGCTGTTTAAATAGTTGAGGCTAAAAGTGATGAAAGCACTTGTCAACAGATGTTGTCAACAGAAATGGTAAAATTTGGCAACTGATTAGATCAGAGGTTGATGGAGCTTAACAAGTCAAGGATAACATTGAGGTTAAAAAATTGGGAGACTGCAAGGATGGTGGTGTCTTCAACAAAAACAGATAAGTATGGAAGAAGGGAGATTTTAGGGTGGGAAGAGACAGTGAGGTCAGTTTTAAGCATTTTATATTTAAGATGTCTATAGGAGAGGCAGCTAGGTGGCGCAGTAGATAGAACTCCAGCCTTGGAGGCAGGAGGACTTGAGTTCAAATCCAGCCTTAAGCACTTGACACTTACTAGCTGTGTGACTCTGGGCAAGTCACTTAACTCCAACTGCCTCACCAAAAAAAAAAAAAAAAAAAGGTATTTTAAAAAACAAGATGTCTATAGGACATCTGTCATTGATGTAGTTGAAAATATCTATTGGTAGATAGAAAGATGTGGCAATCATCTACATAGCAATGGTAGTAAAACCCATGGGAGTTGATGAGGTCACAGTGAAAGAGACTGTAGCCAGGGAAGAGAAAAGGGTCTACAACAGGATCTTGGGAAATATTCACATACAGGGCATGATAAGCCAGCAAAAGAGACTGAGAAAAGTGGTCAGAACATTAGGAGAACGAGGAAAGACTAGTATCATGAAAATCTAGAGAAGATAGTATCCAGGAGGAGAAGGTAATGAACAATGTTAAATTCAACAGAAAGAATGGGAAGAATGAGGACCGATAAAAGACCATCAAACTTAGTAATTAGGAGATCACCGGTAAATTTGCAAAGAACAGTTTCAGTTGAGTCATGAGGTTATAAATTAAATTGCAAAGAACTGAGGAGTGAGTAAGAGAAAAAAAAGTGAAGGCAGAGAGTAAGACAGTTTTTTGAGGAAGTCTGGATGAGAAAAGGAGGAGAGATATGGCATTGTAACCTCAGGAGATGGTAGAGGTTAATTAGAGTTTTTTAAGGATGGGGAGGCCTGGACATGTTTTCAAGGAAGTAGGGAAGATAGGAAGATAGGAAGATAGATAGATAGATAGATAGATAGGCAGACAGACAGACAGATAGATAGATATATAAATAGATATGGGGAGAGAGGAAAAGATAGAAGATGGCTGAGGATGCAATCTGCTAGAGAAAAGTGAAGATGAGATCAAGCACAATACACAGGGGCTGGCCTTAGCAAGGAGAAGGGCCCCATTTTGTCAGAGTTTGAAGCAAAGGAGAAGAAAGTAGGAGATTGTGCAAAGGGGTTTTGAGATAAAGAGAATGGGAAAAGAAGGAGTTGATGTCAAATAGTCTAACTTCTTCCAGTAAAGTAAGAGGCAAAGTCCTTGGTTAGGGATGAAGAGAAGGGTGTATTACGATAAAGGGTCAGTCAGTCAACAAATGTTTATTAGGTGACTACTATGTTCCAGGCAGTGAGGTAAGTGTTAGAGATAACAAAGAAAGTAAAACACAGCCTCTTCTTTCAAGGAGCTCACATTCTAATAAGGGTCACAATATGAAAACAATTATTTATAAACAAGGTAAACAGGACAAGAGAGAAGGTTAGGAATAGTTTGCGTGGGGAATGAGATGGAATCAGGGAGGAATAGAAGGACTGCCTTTCTGTAGTGAGGGCCCTAGTTGAAGTTGTCTAAAAAGAATTTGTAATGTCATCAGGGGTAGGGAAATTCTTATCAGAGTGATTGTGTAAGATTAGGCAGAGCAATCCACTTCCGGTATATCTGTGAATTGATTCAAGCATGAGGAAAAGCAAGTTGCAATTATCCTAAGAAAGTGACTAAAATGTTCATATTCTCTTGATAGAGCCATTCCACTGCTAGGAATATATTCCAAAAAGGTTAAAGACAAAAACAAGGGTCACATCAACATAAAAATATCTGCAATAACCTCTTTGTAGTAGCAAATAACAAAACAAAATAGATGCCCAACAACTGGTAAGTGGATAAACATGCCGTGGTATATGAATGCAATGGAATATTATGGTGCTATAAAACACAATGTATTTAATGAATAGGAAGACATGTAAAATCATTCAAAATAAAGTAAATGGAACTAAAGCAACAATATACAGAAGGACTGTGAGTAAATGGAGAGAACAAAAAAATCCAAAACAATCAAAAATGAATTCTGTGACAATATCATGGTCAAGCTTTCACTAAAAGATATGAGAAGGCATCTCCCCCACATTCTTTGCAGAAAGGATATGTATGTGGGACATACATAAAACTTAAAACATTTCTGATACGTTGCTTAGTTTTGATGAACTGTTTCTACCCTCTCTTTTAGTTCTTTATTATGAGGGATGTTTCCTCAGAGAAGGAAGGGAGAGGGAAATACTGCAAATATAAGTGATGTCAAAAGACATCAACACAAACTTAAAAAAAAATGGTTATGATGCTTAACAGTATCCACTACAGTGTTTTGTATACTATGTATTGTCAAAGATACCAAAACTTATTTACATAGCATTTCAAGGTTTATAAACAACTTTCTTCACAACAGTCCAATTATCCCCTTTTTACAGATGAAGAAACCAATGCTCAGAGATGGCAAGTGATAAGTCTCAGAGCTAGCATGTGTTAGAGCCAGGACTTAAACTCAGATATCTCCCGACTTCATGTCCAGGACTACTTCCATCATACCACAAAGTCCTCATCACTCAGTACTTACGTATCTATTATTCAAAAGTTGTGTTTGCCAGCGTGGGAAAGTTTAAGCTTAGTAATAAATATACACTATAATGATATAGCCTCTGGAGGAGCTGAAAAACTGACTCATAGACAAGCATCATCCATGCTGTAAAGAGGGTTATAATTTTTGTGACCAGATGAAAGTTAAACCACATTAATATCCTCTCTGAATTAACATCTTATCTGGAGGAAGGCAGGAAGGGCTAGTGAATATTTGGTTTAAAAAGAATTTTCTCATGGCTAACCTAAGGTTGAAGAGGAAAAAGATTACAGGTTCAGGATCTAGAAAAACTTCAAATTGCTGTCTTTCAGCTACTTGACAACCAATACATAAGGTGGTAAGAAAGTCAAGAGAAGAATTAAGTAATGATTGTGTAAAATATATGGAGAAGATGAACCATTTACTAACCAATCCCATGCAATTCTGATCACATAACTTTTAAATACACCTAAGCTCTAATATATTTCATTGCCCATAGTTGTTGAGCAATGATTTTTATACTACTTTGTTACATTTTTCTTGCATTTTCCTGCTCTTTTTTGTATTTTAGTTTACTCTCCTGCAATTTAATAGTAAACACCCTATATCCTTTCTATTACCCTTTAGTGTTTGCTTACCAGAGTATAATGATATAATGAACATTTATTAAGTACACACTAAATGCAGAGAAGATTCATCATTTACAAAGTACTTTTCCTTTGCCTTTGATTCCAGACCTTCAGGCAATCTCTGATCCTTATGGCAAATTCAGCAAAGCAGGTAGGACCAACATTTTTCTCCCTAGTTGACAGGGGCAGAAACTAGGGCTCAGAAGGGAAATATCTGCCCAAGGTCACAAGGCTAGTAAGTATTCCATCAAGTAGCAACTGAGGTGGTTTGATTCCAAGTTCAATGCTCTTGACACTATTCCACACAATGAGCTACTTACCTAATTTAATACCATTCTGAAGTTTCAATTTACATAGTACTTTCTTCTAGGAGGATCAATACATTTAATTAAAATATACACCAAGGCACTATCTCTATCTTTAACAGGGAATCTTAAGTATCAAAGTTAATCCATCAGATCAAAAGCAGAGCCCACAGTGGTAGATAAGCCTTTCTAGTCTCATTTGGACTCTATTCCTTACTACGTATAAGACCTCGGGCATGTAACCTCTTTTATCTGAAGTTACCTCGTTTATAAAATGAGAAGATGAATTGGCAAAAAGAGCACTTATTAAGCACTTACTACTTGCGAGGCACTGTGCTAAGCAGGATAATGGTTTGAAAGGAGGTGGCATGGTTTGGAACTAGCAGCCAGGAAGTATACTTTTGCTAGTTTCTTAAGGGGGTTATTATAAGAAAAATGAGATAATGAATGGGAAAATATTCCAAAAGCTATAAATCACTATGTATGTGTATATATTTGTGTGTATATATATCTTTCATGTTATGTATATGTATGTGTATACATGTATCTTGCATATTAAGCTATGTGCTGTTTTTTTTCTTTTAAAAAATATCATGTCAATAGTATGCTAAAAAGGTAGACAGTTATACAACTAGCCCCTATCCATTCCACACTTGTCCATTTACCCTTTCCTAGAGGAATATAACATACACATAATTAAATATACAACATATGATATATTTGTGTTTATATTTATATGCACACATATAGGTAGACATACAAATGTGTGTGCATATAAAACAAATCCAAGTGTTTTTTTTAATGAGGAATTATAAACTGGGAGGAATTAGTAAAGGCCGCTTATAAGAAGGAACACTTGAGTCTTAAAGAAAGCTACAGATTCTAAGAAGTGAAGTTAGGAAGGAAGAGTGTTTCAGGAATGAAAGATAATATGTACAGAGGCATGGAGACAGATGTAATGTTATGTACAGTGAACAGCTAGCAGGCCAGGTTAGCTGGAATTCAGAGAGCATGAAGGGTGATGTGTGATCTGTCTGAAAAAATAGGCTGGAGTCAGACTGTGGAAAACTTTACATGCCAAATAGGACATTGTTTTTTGTCCTAAAGTCATAAAGCAGGCAGAAAAGGGAACTCCTAAGGTCATCATATACAGATGGAGAGAGAGAGCTGACCAAGGACTGGAAATATAGCTGTAGGTGAGAATGCACAGAAAGAAGTACCTAGGAGCCATCTTCATATATGAAATTCTATGTATTATTCTTTGGTGTCCTAAAATATTGTCAAGAGAAAAATAATTTAAAATTAATTATTAAATCCTCAGTGGTAAAATGAGAATAATATTAACTCCCATTTGTATAGTGCTCTGTAATGAACAAAGCACTTTTCTTAAAATAATCTAAAATCTTAGAATAGAATGTTCACTTTAAAATTAAATTAGCCAATGACAATAATTCTAGATACAACAGAAGTTTTAAATATAGACCTTTACATACACATTAATCAATGACATTACAGAAAATGTATTAAATTGGTACATCAAAACACAAGCTCTCTGAAGAAAGAGTAAGAACCACTGGTTATTGTCTTTATATTTTTCTTAGTCCTTTGTTACTCATCAAACTTTTATTTACTAAGGAGAATAAAAAATGATTTTCTTTATAACTTTAATATCTCTTCAGATCTTCCTCATGTGTCTCATGTATTTGTATATACTTCTTAGATAAAGAATACCAGTTAAAGCTATGCTGAACTATAGCTTCCAAATTTTGTACATTGACTAGACATCTTTTAGAAAGGCTAAAACCTACTGACAATCTGCTAGTATAATTAAAACACAGAAAAATAAGTAACAAAACAGATATGGCACTGTACCTTTCTGGGGTCTAATGATAAAAGATTGTGTGGCTCCATTAACTAGTCGGCAATATCCATCTATTAAGTCAGCCATATTCTCTGCAATGGTTAAAGATGGGGCTGTCACTGTGAGAGGCTAAAGGGGAGAAAAGAGACATTATTGTTGTTACCCATATTCAAAGGAACAGCTGTCCCATGACATCAGAATTCAGTGTAAATTTAAAAACACAGTAGAAGCAGTGGTCAAACATAACACATTAGAATATGTGAATGAAAAAGGAAGTATGACATTTAAGTACACAATCCTTGAATATGTAATAGGAAGAAAAATAAAATAAAAACCGATTTGTTTAGAGAGCCACCTCTTAGAATAAATGGCAGAAAATCCCTTTTCTTATCCAGAACATATACAAGCATAAAGAAAAGATGCTAAATTAAAAGCTAATAGTTATGAATTTGGAAAAAAAAATTCAAACAACTTGGAGAAAGGGAGGTGTGATACCATGCAACAAAATACACACTGGTTTTGAAGTTATAGGATCTCCAAGCTCACATCCTGCCACTGTCATTATCTTTGTGGCCATAAGTAAATTAACTGGTATGTTTGGCCTCAGTTTCCTCATGTTTAAAGTAAGGGGGCTGGTATGGATGATCCCTAAGATTCCTGCCATCTCCAAGTCTATGATCCTATGATACAATCACCTTGGGAACTGCTGCTGTTGTTCAGTCACTTCAGTTGTGTCTGACTCTTTGTGACCCCAATTTGGGGTTTTCCTGGCAGAAACTGGAGTGGTTTGCCATTTCCTTCTTCCACTCATTTTCCAGATGAGGAAACTGGGGCTAACAGAGTTAAGTGACTTGCCCAGTATCACACAGTCAGTAAATGTCTGGTACTACATCTACTCTACCACTTAGCTGCCCCATTGGGAGTTAATTTTGCCCCCCTCCCCTCAAATTCAACTCCTTTATTCAATCCAGAAAAGTATCACCACCTGATAGTTCTATTTAAAGGCATAGAAGTCATTATTTCCCAGAATCTTAGAATTACAAGTGTCTAGAGTAAACATCTAATCCAAACCAAATTGAACAAGGATTTCCTCCATACCTGTGACATGTGGTCTTCTAGCTATCAAATTTTAAGACCTCAAGTAGAGGGGAACTCAGAACCTCCTGAGGCAGCTCACACTATTTTGGGATAGTTGTATTAAGAAGTTTTTCCTTACTTCAAGCCTACAGTTTCCTCTTCCTAATTTTAATCCATTGCATGAATCATTAAAAAATACTCTTTGGTTCTCTTCATTCAAACTGTCCTAAAATCATCTAATGCCCACATTGCTCCATCTTTTCTACAAAGACAGCATCATTTCGTGCAAACAAATTAGTAACTTTGTCAAAAAAGGAAATAAAGCTTGGCTGGCATGACCTATTCCTGAAGAAGCAATGATGGTTCCATGTGTACAGGGCTTCCTTTGCTAGATATTCACTAACTTTAAGACAATGATGCATTTTGAAATTATGAAAGGAACTGAAGTCAATGAATTAAACAACTATTTACTAAGTACCTATAATGTGTCAGTCTCTCTGCTAAGTGCTAGGGATATAAACAAAAATGAAACTATCTCTGACGTCAAAGAACTTAAATTCTATTGGAGGAGAGGGGTGTGTGTTTGTGTGCATAAACACAAGGTTACTAGGGAGGAAGAGTACTAGCAACTGGGGGGCTTCATGGAGAAGATGGTACTTGTGCTAAGTCTGGAAAAATGTGAGAGATGCTATGAAGCAGAAGGCAAGAGGGAATATGGACAGGGGAGGGGCAGGGAAGAGAAGGCCGTGCACATGGAGCTGAGTGACGGAGTACTGTGTGAGAAGAACACAGAAAAGGCCAGTTTGGCTGGATCATACAGTGCCAGAAGAGGAGCTGTGTATAAGGAAGCTGGAAATATAGAGCTGGGCCAAGTTATGAAGGACTTTAAAAGACAGGCAGAGGAGGTTATATTTTATCTTAGAGGAAATAAGGAGACACTGGAGTTAACTAGAGAGGAATGATATGGTCAGATCTCTTCTTAAGGAAACTATTTTGGTATCTGGGTAGAAGATGGATTAGAACAGGCAGAGACTTGGAGCAGAGCAATCAATGAGGAGATCACTGCAACAGTCCAGGTGAGATGTGATGAAGGCATCATCTAAGGCGGTGACTAAGTGAGTAGAGAGAAGGGGTCAGCTATAAGAGAGCTGTAGAGGCAAAAACAGCAAGATTTGGCAACTACCTGGATATGTGGGAAAAGAGAATAAGGAGTTGAGGATGAAGCCAAAGTCTCAAAACCAGAGAGAATGGAAGGATGAGGGTGCCCAGAAGAAGGGAGAGTTTGGGAAATGGGGGTGGAGAGGAATAACAAGCTCTGTTTTGGACAAGGTGGGTTTTATACATATCTGGTACATCTCATCTGAAATGAACAGTCAACGGTTGCTGGGGTAGGAATGGAGTACAGGAAAGATTTAAGTTAGATATGTAAGTCTAGGATTCATTTGCCTAAAGAACCCATGATTGAACTCAAGATAGTTTTTGAAGTCACTAAGAGAAAAGAAGTAAAGAGGAAAGGCAACACTTGTGTGAGAGAGAATAGGAATTGAACACTAAATTGACATGGCAAATTTTAAAAAGCCTCTAACATTCAGTTAATTGGTGAAAATTGTTAGTGATCACATGTCTGGGTGGAAAGGATCACCAGTTATATCCTGAATGCATCATTGGCGTGGCATCTGTTTATAATCAATCAGCAATCAGTAGACAGGGGGTAGAGTCCTTTTTAAAAACAAAATTGGCATTACATAAATATTTTAGTATTTATGGTCCTGTGTACTACTTGGAGGACTTTGTCCCAGTCCCAGAACCTCCTTGTGGATCGGTTTCCTCAGGAGTTAGACTAGTGGCCTCCGAGGTCTTTTCCAACTCTAGAACCATGGAACCTGTCTCACTGCTCTGAACTGAGAAACCGTTCTGACGGTAACAAAACTGAAATAAAAAAATAAGCCTTACATCTGGCCTTGTTCTAATGTTCTGATGGTTATAGCTTTAAAATGCACAGATAAAAAGAATGAGTGAATCTCTTTTTGTAATAATTACATATGTTCATAACATACAAATACATATGTAATTTCATGTTAATGTTGTTAATGTCTTTTGTTTCAACAAATACATCCAAATATTTAACTAAAATTATATCCTCATCTTCTGTCACTAAAACTCTTAGTACATTAGTTCCACCGTGTATTTTTTAAGCAGTTGACATTTAATAATACAATTACTATTATGTTGGGAAATCTATGAATTTTTTTTTTAGTTCAATAAGGGGCATTCATACTCCAATAGACTGGGAACTGAATAAGCAATAATAGTCTTTATATTTGAGACAGTGGTATACTTAATGGGTAGGTGATGATGAGTCCTGAAGTTGGCATTCCAGCTAGCTTCTTCTTAGGTTCTAACACTTACTAGCTCCGTGACTGTGGCAAACTACAATCTTTAAGGGTCTCAGTTTCCTCAAATGTAAAATGGGAATAATAATAATAATAATACCTGTGCTATACCTGTCTAACAAGGTTGTTACAAAGGAAATCTTACAAAGGGCTATATGAATGTGAGTCATGATACTATCACTATTGTTAGCCTAAGTATAATCCCTAAGTCTATTATTTCAAATATTATTCATCTCTAATAACGATGCCTGTCAAAGCTATTTCCTTGTTCCATAATTGTATCATTTATTATTTTATCTTTATTGGTCATGTAGAGTCTCTTACCTCAGGTGCTCCTGCTATTTTGAGCTGCAGCATTCCTTTTCTGTCTTTGTCATCACTGTTTGAATACTGAATGGTCTGAACTTGATTGAAGTCTGCGAGATGTGTAGGCTGTAAAGGTAGAGACTCTCTAAATAACTTTAGATACACCTAGTACATTGCTTCACCAAACCATATCCTGGCTCAATAACTTCTTTTGATATTGATTTTATCTCACCAGAATTTATTTCATCTCTTGTCATTTGTTGAGGTACCATCTTACTCTCATCACAATGATGCCCTGGCAAATGAAAATCTGAGCTTTAAAAACTCAGTGGTATCCCTTTCATATAGAACCATTCTTAAAAAGACAAGTGACTTAACACTTAGCAGAGTAAACGGCTTTGATTCTGATTCCACCTGCCCTGGGAATTAAAGTAAAATAACTTTTGTTCTTTTATCCCCAAACACATAGTATTAATGACACTAAATGTCATTTAGTATTATTAGTCAAATTATTAATATGAGTAGCACAAAAATATTACGCTAAACTAATATTAGTCCTTAATATTTAAAATAAATATCTCTAATAATAAAAGTATATAATAGTTATACATTAGTACCTAATAACATAGGATTATTTGAAATAATGTGTTAAAGTACTTTAAGGTGAATGGTTTTAGAGGGGAACATCTACTAGTAACTCTTTCATTTGCCATCACATATTCATTTTCCCTAAATTGAAGTGCCTTAGGACAAGTCAGATTCCAAACAGAATAATGCTTGTGGGTCCTCCTTGTGATAAAATGGAGATAAAGAGATTTGTACCTACTGCCATGGACATAAAGAATAGAAGGTAAATAATGAACAAAGTGGAGGTGGGGTGAAATTCTTGATGCTGCTTTAGCAGTACTTTAGTACTGAACATGTAGGAACCATAGGGATCACCATTAAAGGCCAGAATTCCTATTCCCATTTCCACTGATGCATGACCCTTGAATCAATTCTAATGTACCCTGAGTCAAAACTAGGAAATGCCTCTGAAATGCATCTTTTTTTAAAAACAGTTAATAAAAGGAAATTTAGCCATATCAGGAGAAGAATATTTAACCAGGATATGCATTAAGGACACTCTGAATTGATTCAACTGAGCAAAGCTTCCCTGCCTGAGTTATTATCAACTGTGATCCATAAGCCAAGCAACAGAAAGCACCTTATGGATACATTGTACTACTCAGGTGACCAGGAAGTGATTTCAAAAGGCAGGGCCTTTAGTTCTTTGAGTCAATCAAGTCTTAAAGATAATTTCAATACCATTTAAGGAAAAAAAAAAACTAGCCTAATCTGAATGAGTGTGTGGGACTTAGAATATTATTTCCACCACACTATAAGCCCCCTTAACTGAATATAGGAGAATGAAGGCCAGAAATCCCAGATATCAGGACTGACTGAAAAGTGGTGGTCAGGTGGTGGCAGAGACCAGGCAGAGAGAGTAAGGATCCCTTTGATTCTCTTGACTGAATATCCTGACTACCCATATCTGGAAGGGTTTTACATATATTATATGTGGTAAGCTTTCTATGGACTTCTGATGCTATGAAACAAAGAATTTTTTTACCCTAATTAATAGGTCCAAAGAAATGAATATACATATAATTCTATCATTTGATTCATTAAACAAACACGTATTGAGCATCTATATGATGTGCTGTATATAAAGACTAATAACAACTAGCCCACATTTTTAAAGAGTTTATAATCTCATATGGAAAAAAATTAGTTTATAAATGGCTATAACAGAGTATAAAAATACCATCACCATAGAAAAGTACAGAATTTTGTATCAGCTCATAAGAGAAAAGATTATAAAAATTAAACACACTTTTACGTAAAGATTCCAGCATGCCTCTTAACCCAACTGAACGGTTTAAACAATAAGGATTAGTCACTGTTAATATACATAAGGCATACTACTCACAAGGATGAACTGTTATACTAGAACTTAACTACAATATTTGGGTCAGGAAGTGATTTATATGGTTCTCCCAGCTGTCACAGAATGGGTGGTCAATGGCAAAATGGCTTCATTTATTAAGGGCTGAGAGAGCATGTCATCCTCTCCCTTCTCGTAGTTGCAAGTGATTTCTTCTTCACAGACCTAGCTTATACTTTAATAATAGTATAGTTTCTATTATAATTAGCTAAAATCTCCTAAAGGATAGGGACCGTGTCATGTGTCTTATCTCCCTACTGTTCAGTTTTGTATACAGTAAGCACTTGATAACATATCTGAATGAACATGCTGAATAATAATTTACATATTTCTTGATCTAATCTTACAATGATTATATCCCAAATGTACTTGTAGTTCAGAAAAATTGCTTCACGAAACATGAAGAGGTAAACAGAAAGGAGAAATCATAAGAGATTTATCTAGGTGGAACTGTTTACATTCCTGCAGGGAAAGATGATATTTGTAACTCATGAGACCTTTGTCAATATTAGGGTAGTTGGAGGGAAAAAATTATATGTATGTATATAGATAGATAGATAGATAGATAGACAGACAGAGGGCACAGGGTGAGTTGAAGATGAAGGGGTGATATCTGGAGAATAAAATTAAGGGGTGATATCTGGAGAAAAAAATTAAGAGGATTATACTGGGAGAAGGAGAAAGGGAGAGGTAGAATGGGGTAAATTATCTCATATAAAACAGACAAGAAAAGGCTTTTACAGTGGAGGGGAAACGGGGGAAGGGGAGAGGGAATGAGTGAATCTTATTCTCATAGGATTTGGCTTAAGGAAAGAATAACATACATACCCAATTGGGTATGGAAATCTATCTTATCCTATGGGAAAATAGTGGGGGAAGGGGACAAGAGAGCAAGGGGTGATAGAAGGGAGGGCAGATTCGGGGACAGGGTAATCAGAAGCAAACATTTCTAAGGAGGGACAGGGTCAAAAGAGATAATAGAATAAATAGGGGGCGGGATAGGATTAAGGGAAACTTAGTTTTTCACAACATGACTGTTATGGAAGTGTTTTGCATGACTACACATGTATAACCTGTACTGAGCTACTTGCTTTCTCAGTGAGGGTGGGTGGGGAGGGAGGAAGGGAAAAAAATTGTAACCCAAATCTTTAAAAACAAATGTTCAAAAAAAATTGTTTTCACATGCAACTGGGAAATAAGATATACTGGAAATGGAGTATAGAAATCTATTCTGCCCTACAGGAAAATTGAAGGGGAAGGGGATAAGAGAAGGGGGAGAGAGATAGAAGGGAGGGCAGAATAGGTGAAGGGGTATTCAGAATGCATGCCATCTTGGGGTGAGGGGAGGGACGAGTTGGAGAGAAAATTTGGAACTCAAAATCTTGTGAAAGTGAATGTTGAAAACAAAAAATAAATTAATTAATTAAAAAAAAGAAAAATTGCTTCAAAGTATGAAATAAAAATACCACTACGCCATAATTATGTGCAGTATATATGGCAGCCAAGTTTGCACATAAAGTCAGAAGACCAGAGTTCTAAGTTGCAGTATCACCATTCATTAGCCCTGTGACTTTGGTAGAATTAAATAGGCTCTCCGAATTCACTTTCCTCATCTGTAAAATACAGACAATACCTGTCTTTCCTACCTAAGGTGTTGGAAGAGAGAGTTTCATAAACTACAAAGTGTTAAGCAAATACTGATCATAATGGAATTTAATAATAAATTTACAGAAAATATAATGACTAACATGACTACATGTTATAAAAAATGCATGAAAAGAATCATTGAGTTCACTCTGAAACTAAACAATTTTGGTGAGTTTCCAATGGCTCTTTATTTCTGCCTCACTGTACCAGAAACCTTTCCATGACAAGAATCAAAGGCAGAATTACAGCTTCCACCAAGAATGACTTAGTTTTTCTTCCTTTGATTCAAAGATTAAACTATTCATTCACCTTTGAGGAGTGCTGAATTGACAATGCATGGGGCAACCTTGCATGGGCAGTTACAGTGACAAAACAGAGACAGAGAGACTTACATTGGAGCCCTTGTCTGTAAGGTAACTGATGCCTTCTTCTGGGCCAATTGCCAGCTCCACAGAAATGATCCAACTTGACTTTTTGGGATGAATAGATGAAAATTGGAGGTTGGAGAAAGAATAAGCACAGGATCATAAGCACAAATGAATAAAGTACATGAAGAGAGCTAGTTTAATTTATAGTTCATACAGCATTTACATACATTTCATCAAGGTAAAGGTTAATGGCCAAAGTGGTGTTATGGAATGAGCACTAGCGATGGAGCCAAAGGACTTTGGTTTAATCCTAGCTCACACTACTTATGCAATATTGATAAGTAAGTTAGTTTAAAACAGCTTGAGTTTCTTCATCTATAAAACATGGGGGCTCATTAAGATGATCTCTAATGGTCTCTTTCTGGTCTATTTGAAATCATAAAAAGTCCTACAAGTCACAATGTGGCTTCATACAATCCTATGATCTTTCATAATTCTCCAAAGAAAAACAGTGATTTAACACTGTGTATAAGTTATGGTAAATTTTTTGTTTGTTTTGCTCTGGTATGGTCTGGATCTATTATTATATTGTTAGAGGGAAAGCATGGGGAGGAAATTCCCTTCACCCCTTCACATCAGCAACTAGTATAGAAACTATACCCTTAGAAAATTGCCTATGGCTCAGAGATGGCACACAGTATGTGTCAAAGGTAGTGTTTTAAACCAAGGTTTTTTGACTCTGAGAATAGTTCTATATCTACTTTGACACAACAAATAAGTGATAAGTTAATATTTTTTTTCTTCAACCAGTAGTTTGATTATAGAACTTCTACTACCTTTATTTGTTTTTTAAAAGCAGTCTGCTGAGTTGCTAATCAACTATGTTTATCTTTACTCTTATAATTTTATTTAAAAAACCCTATAATTTGGATGTGTTGAGATTTTGATGAAAACAGTTAAATTATCAAATAAGCCATATGGTTAAATGAAAACATAAACAATTTCATGAAAAATGAAAGTTTCATTTCTTATCCAGACAGTATCACTAAAACTTTCCCCTTTTGGCCCAATCCATATAAATAAAATCAATATATCTTGTGGTTAAAAAAAAAAAGCCAAGGCTAATTTCTCAATCACAAATGAAAGTGTAGACACTCTCCATACATAATGTTCCAATATGGTTTTGCAGTAATATAATAAATAATCAACTATAATATTATTTCACCAAGTAAGAGATCAAAATGGGATGTTTAATGGTTATTTAACTAACATTGTTGTTCAACCGCGACCCCATTTGGGGTTTTCTTGGCAAAGATACTGGAAGTTTGCCATTACCTTATAAAAATGAGGAAACTGAGGCAAACAGGGTTAAGTGACTTGCCCAGAGTCACACAATTAGTGTCTGAGGCCAGATTTGAATTCAGGAAGATGAGTCTTCCTGACTCTCGCTAACTGCCCTTCTAACTAACAGCTGAGTTTAAATGCATCTTCTGTCTACTTATTGCTACCATTAGTACATATGCATCAATATCATTCCTATGGAAGAAAGTCTCTGCTGTAATGGTGCTTCACTGAACACCATGTTTTGGTGAAACCAATTAAGGAGACTGGACAAGGTATGCCTGTGAACACAGCCAACTGACTGCAAAAGAAACTGGCTTCCCAGTAATATGATTGCCCACTTTGCTGATTTCTTGTTACTTACCCCAAGAGCACATTTGAAGCATTCTTTATCAAATCTGTACACAGGAGAGAGAATCTCAAAGAATTTCAGAATACTTTCTTCTCTATTCAGGTTGGCAAATTGACGAAATGTTTGTTGTATCAGTTTTCTTAGGGTTTTGGCCTGCATGACAAAATAACACAAAAGCAATTTGTGTAAGCAATGTTTAAAAACTATTATTCCGTTAGACACAGGGGACGCCCACAGGTATCGACATATCTCCTGTTAGCAGCCTTTCTCCTCATCTCCAATCAAACGTCACAAACTGCCTATTGTATATCTTGACCTGGATTAGCTAACAATAAATACACATCTCTTTCTAATCTAACAGTGGCAGTTTATAGAGTAATATTTACATATTAACAGATGTCCTTTTAAGCTCTATGAATCTATGAAATTCCAAATTCAAAATAAAAAGTGATACTGTTAAAATAAAAAATCATTTGTTAGCACTTTAGGTTTAAAACGTAGATTTAACATAGTGAATACCTTTACTGTGGTTGTACAGATCTTAGACTAAGAGGTCCTCACCAGTAAAGCATTTAGTCAGTCAGTAAACAATTATAAAGCACTTATTATGTGTCAGGTCCTCTGATAAGTGCTAAGGATACAAAAACATGTTTCCTACCCTCAAGGAGCTTCCATTTTAAGAGAAGGAAATCACATGCAAATAACAACGTACCTAAAAGATATAGAGAGCATAGATCGAAGGCAGTATCAGATGGAAGGCACGAAGTGGGGCAGTGAGGAAGTGGAGACTGGGAGAGGCCTCTTACAGAGGGTAGAATTTAATCTGGGTCTTGAAAGAGGCCAGAGAAACTAAGTAGAAGAGAGAAGGGAGAACATTCCAGGTATAGGAGAACGTCAGTGAAACAACATGGTATTAGGAGACAACAAGAATAAACAGGCCATTGTCTCTGGATTGTAAAGTATGTTGAGCAGAGTAGGGCATAAAAAAAGAATGGAAAAGTAGAAAAGTGTCAGGTTGTGAAGATCTTTAAAAGGCAAACAGGATTTTGTATTTGATCCTGGAGGTTATAGGGAGCCCCTGGAGTTTACTGAGTAAGGAAGAGACATAGTGCTTTAGAAAAAATCACTTGGGCAGTTGTGTGGAGGATTGACAAGAGTAGGAGAGACTTAGCTATATATGGGGTGAGTGTAAGTGAGAAGACTAGGAAAATACTGAGTTACTGGGTTACTGGGAGGATGATAATGCTCTCGCAGTAATTCTCCAGCAGGACCTCTGCTTGGTTTCCACTCTGGAGACCATCATGCCTTCTCCCAGGAGAAGGTGATCAGCTGAAATCTCATCACCATGCTGACTGACTTAGTTTGTAATAATCAATACCTCCTGAACTCCTTTAGTTGCTTCTCTCTCTGACTGCAGGGCTGACAGACGGAATAGTAAACTCCTCCCAAAGCCTTCCATTATAGAAGACTCTGAAATTTCAGCTTTTTCCAGGTTATTCTTCATCAACAGCTCTGCTTGGTTTCAACTGCGTGGACCATCATACCTACCCACCCACCCTGGTATACTCTGCCTCCCAATTATCATCTTTTCTGTGTTGCCTTTTCCCATTAGATTATAAGCTCCCTGAGGGCAGGGACTATTTTCCTTCTTCTCCTGTGTATTTCCAGTGCTTAGCACAAAGTCTGGCACATAGTAAGTATTTAATATATTTTTAATGAATTGATTGTGGGACTGTTGCTCAGACAGAAGTTAGGACTGGATACATAAATCAGGGAATTAGTTACATAGAGATGATAACTGAACCAAGAAGAGTTTAAATAATTAAGTGAGATAGTGCAGACCAAAAAGAGAAGCCAGGACAGAGCTCCTGGGTATACCCACAGATAGTATGCATGTTCTGGATGAAAATCCAGCAAAGGAGACTGAAAAGATGTGGTCACATGGGTAAGAGCAGCAGGAGAGAACATTATCATGAAAATCTAGAGAGGAAAGATTTTTTAAGAGGGGAGAGTGATCAAGAGTGCACATGCAAGGATGAAGATTGAAAAAAGCTCATTATATTTCTGGCAAACAGGAGACCTCTTTGAAAAGAGCAGTTTAAGTCAAATGATGAACCTGGAAGCTAGCCTGCGGAGGGTTTTGAAGAGTAAGAAGAAAGAAAGAAAGTGAAAACATTTATTGTAGATGGTTTTCTCTGGGAATTCAGCTGAGAAGGGGAGAAGAGATACAGAATGACAGCTAGCAAAAATAGTAGAATCAAGTAAAGGATTTGTAAGTATGGGGAAGAAAAGAACATTTTTAGGAAACAGGGAAGGGCCAGCAAATAGGCAGAGATTGACAACTAGACAGAAAATGGGGCTGACAGAGGCAGCTATCTGCTGGAAAAGACTGAATGGATAGGATCAGGAAAGCACCTATTTGCCAAGCACTTTGCTAGGTACTAGGGATACAAAGATAAGAACAAAAGAGTTCAAAGAGCTTACATTCTAAAACAGGAGAAAACATATATGCATACAAACCATTACTAGATAACCTTGGATGGGAAGGCATGAGTAACTGGGAGGACTAAGAAAGGCCTCTTGCATGAAGAGGTACTTGACCTGAGTTTTCAAGGAATTCAGGGATTATAAAAGGGAGGTGAACAGAGCTAGGACACCAGGTATGGGGGGGACAGTCAGTGAAAAAAAGGCATACATCCCTAGAGGAACACCTCAAAAGAATGTGAAATAGGTGGAAATAACTCCCTTTCCCACCATTTAATGTGAACAAAAATATTGGCAATTTATTAGAGGTATACATAAACATTTTTTTAAATGAGAAAGCAAGCTCTTTGTCACTAGAACTGCTCAGTGAAAATCGAGATAACAGCTTATTGGGGATACTGTAGAAGAGATCATTATATAGAGCAGGGAGGTTATAGAAAACATGGGCCTTGGTTCCTTCCAGCTCTGATATTCTTTACTTATTAGTACTATGAATACTTCAGCATATCAGAACTGTAGTCATTTATTTGACTAATATTTTATACATTCAATAATTTACAAATGGATAAAATATGATAGAAACTATAAGTCTCTGTTAGAAAGCAAGATGTAATACTTGAATTCAAGCTATGGTAATAAAAATATTCTGCAATGAATGTAGAACCTAGGAAAGTGAAAAGGAAGACTAGGAAGATTTTAAGATAGAAAATAGGAGAGAGAAAGCATAAGAAAGACCTTAGTTCTTGAGACATACTGGATGTGACAGCCCCCACATGTCTGCAATTTTCTCTTCTTGATCCTTTTCTTATATTCTCTGGTATTTTCAGGTGGAAGTTCATGAATTAGCACAAGGGGTACATACGGCAGCAAGGTGAAGGTGAGAAAAATTTAATTTCAGTGACACAGTTTTTAAAATAAATCAGGTGTTATTTGTAGATATCCTGAGAAGACAACTGTGCAGTACATGTCCTTGTTTACTGATATATATTTTCGAGGTTTAGTCATCTGGATACTTAGAAATTTCAGTGATTTCTCACTGCTGAGAATTCTTACTAAAGTCATAACCTGCCTTACATACATTACTCTTCCACTGGTGTTGTCTGGTTTCTACAGCCAGATGTAAGGGCAAGGTATTATCCTACTCCTAAATCTCTAAGAGCTAGCATAGTTCCCCTCACAAAATCTCTAAGGAAACATAGAGTGAAAGTATCATCTCTACGTCACAGACTTGGAAATTGAGTTTTAAGAAGATTTCATGATTTGTCCAAGTCTCCCATCTATTAAGGTTTTAAAACAGGAGTTGGTAAGACTTCAATCAATCAATTAAGCACCATTATTTTGATACAAGCACTGTGCTAGGCACTGAGAAAACACATAAAATGAAGGAAAACATCACTGCTTCAAAAGAGCTGACATTTTAATGGGGAGGAGGACAACACAATAAGTTCATATATAAATAAATGTAGCATAAATGTAAAGTGAATGAAAACAAATATATACTAAGTAGTTAAACATAAGTCAAGTCAACAAGATTTATTAAGTGACCACTATGAAAAGTGTTGGGGATAAAAGAGAAAGGCAAAACCAGTCCCTGATCTCAAGGAATTCACAACCTGATGGGGGAGACAAGATATAAACAACTATATACAAAGAGATCACAATATATTTTAACCCAGAGGCAAAAAGCCACTGTGGTTTATCAAGTAGGAGATGACATGGTCAGAGTTGTACTTTAGGAAGATACCTGACAGCTGAGTGGAGGATGGACTGCAGGAGGGAGAGAACTGAGAGAAAGAAACCAGCTAGAAGGCTACTGCAATAATCCAGCTGTGAGGTCATGAGGGTATGTATGAAGAGGGTGAGAGTCTCAGAAGACAGGGTAGGATGTTTCAAAAGCAGAATTGACAAGACTTGACAACAGATTTGAAAGTGGATGGGTAGGGTGAGGGAAAATGAGGAGTCAAGCATGACACCTCTGTTGCCAACTGGGGACTGGGAAAATGTCTGTGCCCTCAATAGTAATACATAAGGAAAAGGGAAAGGTGTGGAGGGAAAGATGATGGGTTCAGTTCTGGACAGGTTTAGTTTAAGATGTCTATGACACACCTAGGTTAAGCTGTGGGATGGCCAGTGCAAGTGGCAAACAGGCAAGAAGTATTAAGTGCTTACTATGTGCAAAGAAAGACAACACATAAAAGGGAGCTGAAAAGAAGGGAGAAAGAGATACCCACATGGGTCACGGAGGCAAAATCCAGAGAGTCAGAAGCACAGCCCAGAGGGGAATGAAGTAAGGCTGGCTTGCGCTGGTCCCCCCAAAAAAGGAGATCTTGGAAAGAATTCACCAATAGAAGAGAGTCAGAAAGGTGAAGTGATGTTCCAGGGTGAGAAGGGCCCAGATACTAAGGGAAGTTCCAGGCAGAGAAGGTGGCTGAATAACGGTGGCAAAGTTGGAGAGTCAGAAGCACAGTCAGGAGGGGAATTAGAGAGAGACTGAAGATGAAGTGTATATAGTGTGTAATAGGGAGAAGGCCAGTTTGTCTACATAATAGAGTATGGGAGGGAAAGTAATCAACCATAAAGCTTAAGGGCAGGTTGAGACCAAACTGAAGATCTTTATGTGATAAACAGGGGAATTTGTATTTTATCTTAGAGTCAAAAGGAAGCCATTG